TTTGTGTTATGTACATTTGAAATTCCTTTGTATGGAATATTTTCTCTTCCTTAGGTGATTGCAGTCGGCGCCACTATGAGTGATGGTTACGTATGGCCTGGATCTAACTACGGCCCGTGTGTTGATATGTACGCACCGGGAGCAGGTATTTTAAGTCTAGATATTCAGAACCCGTCATCAACTACAGTGAAGACTGGCACTTCTATGGCATCACCAGAAGTCGCTGGTAAGTATACACCATACGAGTAATGATGTTTATTCATAGCAGCGTTTTGAAAAAAAAACCCTACATCCTATTAAAACGGAAGAGTCGTCACGTACGCATGCGTCAGATGGCCATAGTGTGTCCTTGTTTACAAACAAGCGTCTACCCGCGAGCCTTTGCGTTTTTAGTGTGGGTTGTGATCGTCGCTTGGTACTCAAATCCCGCGCGTGCGCAGGTGACGACCCAATTAGATACGTGTTAATTTGTGTATTTACACGGCATGTTGTTTTCATTTTATCAACAGGTATGGCCGCTGTCCTATGGTCACTGAACCCAACATATACAAATGCACAAATACGGGACCTGATCTTTAATGACGCAATTCACGATGAAGTTTTAGGTCTGGATGCTACATCACACAATGTAATGGCATGTTTCTAGTTTGATGAAAGCGATCGACATTTAACACTTTACAACAGAGGGATTTCATAATCTGTCTTCCACATAGCTGTAGATATATAGTGTAGGCATATGAATAAAGAATATCTAGATTTAGATACACAATAGTTATAAGTGACAACGTTTGGATTTTAATTAGCTATCACCCGCTCATGTTTTCACACAAATCAATCACCATATTTGCCACTATTCAGTCATGGGCGAGTGTCATTTCATTTATATGTTTGTTTGTTTGTTTGCTCACTTATATGGTGATTATTAACAGAGCATTGTTAACAAAGAACGTAAACAGTAAAATGCCGAATTAAAGATTTATGAAAGGTTCTCAGGAAGTAAAATTCACACTAATTATTTTCGTAGAAGAATTGTTTTAAACTATATATATTTTACGAAAGCTCATAATTCACACTAATTTAAAATCGATGTTACGTTAGATGTAGCCTTTATGTGGCCATGTGACTGCTAAGTAAATAAAACCTTTATTGAAGACTCAAATAATTACTCTGAATACAAATTTAAAGGGATACTACAATCTTATTTCTCGAAAAATTGCGGAATAAAACACGAGCAACTTAACAGTCACGGCGATACTTTTTTTTCTTTTTAAATGTCTATTTTTGCATTTTCACTGGAATATGCTTTTTTACATTCAAATAGTGAAATCTTTTGAATGCGTAAATTTAACAATACCATACCTACAATATCTGAAAAAAAACGCAGAAATTTGAAGTATGCCTGCTGAGTAGCACTCACAATTTCAAAAAGGAGATATACTAATTCGCATACCAATAAAAGAATAGTGGAGTTGTTTCATTGTATCTTTATGGCATCTTTCCGTTGCAGGAGTCATTTATGTGATCTCGACATTTACTACAGTGATTTGGTTTACATATATTGATAAATAAATTGACAATGACATTTATTATAGTATGTGTATACCTCTTAAATTATACCTCAGGGCCGATTACGTCACAATTGCTATAAATATAATAAAGGGATCAATTATAGTCAGCTGGTTTCATTTAATACAACTTCCAACCAGGATGTGTCTGAAATAGTTTGTACTGGCCTTTTAGGTAATTAGGTATTCTGATGTTTTGCATATATTATTCATCTTCTAAAGTATAGGTTCATTCATATTGATTTGGATGAAAATCACTATTCATCTCATTCTTTTAAAAAAAATTAATAACAACAAATAAATAAGTATTCCTGTCCTCTTTCATTGACATTTATGTGCAGAGTGCAATTAACAATTAATAAATAAGTGATATTTAAACAGAAAATGAAATTCTCACATTCTTTTTTTCGAGTTGTCTACAATGTCAGTCAATTTGAGTAATATACACATCAGAATGGGAGGGACACATAACAGTCCCTTATTTCCCATTCTATATATAGACACACGAGCGACATAACATTACAAAATATAACGTAGCCCTCTCTTTCAGTAATTTCTGATAACTTGACGATTGTAATGAACATGCGTATAGTTAAGAGTAAGAGTCAGAGTAAGTGTCAGTTGAATATACAAAATAACTTTTTTGTGCATATCAGCATTCTTAATTTCATTGTACTATCACTGTAATATTGTTTTATTAGCAAATAAACTAGTATTCGACAAGTATGTCAATTTTATCTTATATAATCATAAAATCATGATTCGAATACAACATAATATGTGGTTGTTCACACAGTACCAGAATTTGCAAAGGTATGGTTCGAGAAGCGAAGGAAATTCAATATTTTGACACCTCGTGAGTGGGTTTCTAATCAGTTAAAATTATACAATTCGTGTAATACATGGATAATGTGGGCTGATGAGCACTAATATAGTTCCATATAATTATGTGCGTTAATGAATAGAGACAAGAATGTACACTGTTAAATGTGAGAAGCTACGCATGAACGACGTGACACCATAGTTTAGTAGGTACAATAACATTTTTGCTTGGCATGTTTCTCCTCTGCGGCAATATTGCTCGCCCCTGCAATAGTTCAGTGCTAAACGCGGACTTCACCACGCACCAACGTTCAAACCCGGTTAGTAAGAATTGAAGGTTACAACATGCACTACATACACTACATTACACGGTCGGTAACGTTCATAATAACAAGGAGCAACACCATTTAATATATATATATATATATATATATATATATATATATATATATATATATATATCACAAAATTAAACAATAAATATAATAACTGAAAGCCCAGGACTAATTCATATCAAGTCATATCAGTCCACCGACAGATCGGTTTACTTCACCTCAGTGAATTTTATGTAGTCAGCGATTCATGAACTCATTCGCAGCTGCATCAGTAGGCTTCCTTTTCAGTTTGACTTCAAACGTTGATGTTCGACCATGGCAGTACGTAGATCTGCTCCCCAGATTTTCTAAAGCTTTGTTGGGCAAAACCTTGAGCAGCAACCTCGTGGAAACACGCCGTCAAACTTTAAATACCGGACATGACATCACAGTCTATTGCGCAGTTGTCGATTGGTTCACGACACCTGTATATCCATCTTCCATATACTCATCCAGTGAACTCCAGTATATCATTTGAACATGCAATGTTAAATGCGCCTAACTTTGGACAACAAACCTTACTTCTGATCATAGGACTGTTATTAGTTTACACTGTGACATGTAATTCGTTATAATACATACATATAATAATACCCCATAATTACAAAATGTCCTTAACATTATTCAGATTACTGAGCCTGTATTAGTAAAATATATTCAGCATTATTCAGGTTACAGGGCCTACGTTAGAAAAAAAACTTGAATTGTACTCGTCATCTACATCATCCACATCACTGTCAGGATTATAGGTATTTATGACGTCATAACTTTACAATATCACACAACGATGTAAATCTCTATTTGCAACTGAATTCGTTTCCGAAAACATGAATAAATTACCTATTGTTAATCTGCTTTGTATTTATGAATTTGATTTTATCGTAAAGATTGTGAACGCCAAGGTCAACTTTGTTCATCTTTCAGAAAATGTTTACAACCTTGACTCAGAATATAGCCAGACACACTGAAGTATTGGTATGCGCTGTATAGGGTAAATTCTGCGCCACCGAGAAACATAACATATGTAATTTACCTGGTAACACTTTTTACTAACGACTTACATTTAATAATGTGTTATTGTAACCAATCAGAGGACTCATTTAATACTCAAAATGTACATGCCAAGTTTGTACTGGTCTTTAAATTTCGAATATAAACGTATTAAACACCTGTATGATACGTTAATCTATTTCACGGTGGGCGAATCTCATTTCATGTTATAACAGGGTTCTGAAATACGTCCTCTAAACTTAACAAATATGTTTTAAATCTACGTTTTATCATACTGCCATCATCGGCGTGGAATGTGTAGCATCTGTCAAGAAGTATTCTATCATGATATACAAAGTGTGTCAAAGAATTTAATTGATATAAATGTGAGCTTCGTTTTAGTTTTGATATTCGGCAATATACACACTCAATGCTTACATACACACTTTGACTATACCACTGTATTTGACTGCAAATTTATTGTGTACCATACAATTGAAATCAGAAGAGATTATTCCAGAATCGCTGCATTTCCATAAAGAATTGGGGTAAGCAGAGGATAATAGTTGTCGTGACGATTTAAAATCTCTCTAACGTCATCAATAACGATCAGCAGACAAATAATACTATCAATAGTACAGTTAATAATTAGGTTCACAGACAGATGCACCAATGGTGAGTGCCGGACTTACGCACAGTTACCTTCGATCAAATGAAATCTATTATATTTCAAGCACGATTACACGATTGTATGATTGCAGAATGGCATTGCCTGTATACGTCGAACGTTATTGTGTTTGAAGTGATGACAATGACATTCACTACTTCAAATGAAAAAAAACAACAACATGTTGTTAATACATATTTACTATAATTTAAAATTTTCTTTTACCATTTTGCTGTAATTGTGTGCACATGTCGATCAGGGTTTGGATATGATTGTATACAATCTCATTTATATATTGCCGCAAATGTGAAGTACGCATAATATATACATATAGGTATACTGTTCATAACATGTTGTACGCAATTGGTTGGTGGGGGAAATTGCTCGAAGTCAGATACCTAACAAAGTCCGCACAATCAGCACAACTGTTTTGAAAATAGTAAGCAAGTAGCTAATCCAGCAAGAGACGACAAGAGACTCGGTATACATATAAAGTCCGAGTTTATGCCGACAACTTATTGTTAAAAGTGGTAAATTCAGTTTGAAACGAACGTAATGATCCGATTATATTGACCGCATAGGCTGCCTGCATATATTTACAATGCCGCTTATTGTATTTGTGCTTAGATGAATCGTTAATGCCGGTCGAACTTACAAAATCCGTACAGAAATTGTCGTAAAATTATCCGAGAATTGACGAATTAAGTTAATGTGGCATAACGACCTTGCAATTATTTAAATGAGTTGCAAATATTCATTACATCCGTAGTGGCTATCAGTTCCGTAAACAGACAGAATCAAATTGTTG